CGGCCCCTGCAGGCTGGGAAATGAGGGATGGCGAAGTGGGGAATCAAGGGGGGATGGAAGGGGATGGAGCAAAGTGTGGGGCGAAAGCAAGGTCTGAGCCTTGCTGGGGTTTGTTAAAGTTTAATAGAGAAGAAACCCTGCTTTGCGTGGAGGGGACCGGCTATTTTTAGCTGTGGGTAGGATGTCAGCTCTGAAAATAGCCTGCTACCAGATCCTAATGAAACCCTCTCTCTGGCTCTCACCCGGAGCGAGTTTGGAGGGGGAGGATCACTGTCACACCGAGGAGCTCCTGACATTCACAAGGACTCACCTTAGGCTTTTATTTATTTATTTCATTTCTTCCCCTCCTCCCCCCTGGTTTCTCCCATTTTTCGTGGCTCTGCCTTACGCTGAGCAGAGGAGTCACCAGCCAAAAAAGTGGCTGTGGGGGTGGTGCTGCTTAGCTACGGCCACATCCCGGCAGCATGTGATCAGATTGGCAATTTAATACAGAGCCTTTTATCCCTGCACACCCGCTCCAGTTAAAGTGACATTGAAACGGGAACCCAAACTGCCCATGGGGAGAGCTGACCCCTCCCCATCCGCCACCTCCATCCCCAGGGAATGGGTGATGCTCAGTGCACATGAGAGGGCTCGGGCGGGGGAAGGTGGTACCCAGGCAGGAGAGGATGCTCGGGTCAGGTACATTTGTTGCTGGGGGCATGGACTGGTTGGACTGTGAGGAGCTGAGCAGGAGAACACATGGTGGAGCTCAGGCTGGGACCTCTCTGGGAAGCCCAAGGAAGACATGGAACAGCAGTTGGTGACTGCTCCCAGGAAAGATCAGGGTGGTGGAGAAGCATCCCAGGGAGCATGGAGTATGGAAGCCAGGGAGAGAGATGGTTCTGAGGGTCTGGGGACAGAAGAGAGTGGTGGGAGCATCCCATCTCATTGTGCTGGGGGTTGGAGGTGCTCTACAGACAAAGGCTGGATGAAAAACCTTGTGTCCCATGGACTTAGGGTCAGGCCTGGCAAGAGGGACAGGTGCTCCACGGGCTTTCTGGGTGCAAACCCTTTGATACTTGGTTCCATGGTGGGTGCTGCAGTGTGGTTTGTGTGGGGAAATACACATCCCTACCCATGGCACCCTGCACAGACCCCAGGCTTTGGCTCACCAAAGGCAGCCTGCTCCTAATGGGAAGGAGAAGCTTTCAGCTCTGTGCCCTCTGCCTCCCAAAGGAAGGACTCCAGGCAGCTGGATGGCTGTGATGGATCCATCACCAGAGCTGTCTTCCTGTTCAAGGCCAGGCTGGATGGGGCCTGGAGCAAGCTGCTCCAGTGGAAGGTGTCCCTGTCTGTGGCAGGGGGCTGGAACAATATGAGCTGTAAGATCCCTTCAACCCAAACCAGCCTGTAGTTCTATGAAACACATTAATGGCAGGCCCTCAGTGCCCCATCCATCTTTATCTCCCTGCTCTAGTTCCCCAGGAGCTCAGGGCTGAGGTCTCCGCCTCATGTTTGGGGCCACACTTGCTGCTTGAGTCACACCTTTGCTCTGGTTCCTCTGCTGGGACATTGATGTGGGTTTGGGGAGGGCATCTTGCAGGGATAAACGTGTTTTGTCAAAGAAGAGCTGCCGCAGGAGCACAGGGAGCCTGTGGGTGCTCCTCAGCTTTGCCCAACGTCTGGTGCTCACTGTACTCAATGGGACATGGAGAATGAAGTGAAACCCGGTTTGATGTGCCCATCCATCGTGTTTACCGTGCTGGGGCAGCAGCTCAGCCCCTGTGCTGGATGCTGTCCCCCTCCTGGCTCGCGTGGGGCCGGAGCCATCTGCACCAGTGAGTCAGCAGGACCCACTTAACACTTCTCCAGCAGGATCTCCTCCTCCTGACAGAATGGGCAGCTCCTGGCAAGCTCCGTCAGCGTGTTACAATCTCAGCTCATTAAAGGGAAGCATCCTGAGCTCTTTATTGATGTTTTATGCTGCCTGGCTCCATCTTCAGAGAAACAACTCACACTGCAGTCAATGACTACACCTCCGCGGAGCTGCAGGCTGAGTGAGGAGCTCAGGATCTGGCTCAGGGCTGGGCTCAGCTCCCATTGCTGAAAGGCTGCAGGGCTGCAAACTGTGGTGTTCTACACCAAAGCAGCCAAGAGACACCCGGGGGCTGGGTTCCCCTTTCCAGGCAAGGTTCAAAAGGAAAACACAAGGGGTGACTTTTTTCCTCCGTGCTTCCTTATCCCTATTTGTTGGGCAGAGGAATTGCCTGGTACAGAAGGGAAATAATGTTTTCTTTCCCCCATTGCTGTTGTGTGTTCAGCTGGAGCCTGCTTGGGTGGATGTGTCTGGCCTCCTCTGTACCTGGGATGTGCTGGGATTCACACATCCCTCTACCTTGGGAGAATCACAGCCTTTATAAGTTCCCCAGTGCTTGCTGTTGCTGGTGGCACTGTCTGGCTTCAAGTGGCTTTTACATAATACAGACTGTCAGGCCAGATGAGCACCATGGTCCCCTCTGGCCCTCAAATGTGTGAATCTAAAAATTAGAGAGCACCAGCACCTCATTGCTTCTGGCTGATTGAATCAGGGGAATCACATGTTCTCTTTATCCTCCCCTTTTCTCTCTCCCCTGCCTGCATCATCTTTAACTGAAGGTGAATGCTCCCTCATCCAGTGCCCGGGGTTGACAGCATCGGAAGGAGCAGACATCTCCAGCCTCATGCTGGGATATTCTCCTCCCCATCCGCCGTGGTTCACTGGTGGGATCAGGGGTGCTCGGGCTTGGAGATGGCTGGAAAACAGTGCTGAGCTCTCCTGGTTGCTTAAAAAAGCAACGGAAGTTCTCCAGGCTCCAGAGTGAGCTCTTCTGGGTTTGTGAATGTGTGTGTGTATCTAGAGAAACACATGCTGAGGAGGGGAAGGAAGGTGGTGACTCCCCAGATGGCTTCTGCAGTGTTGGGGATGTGCAGGAGGAGAGGAAGGAGCAGGGCAGGGAGGAAGCGGTGGGGATTGCCAGGGATGAGGGTTCCCCAAGGCAGAGATCTGCAACAGGCAGGTGGGAGATGTGCAACAGGAGCTGGGAACACCAGGATGCTCTGCCCTCCCAGTACCTGTATCTCAGTGCTATCAGCAGCCCCAGGCAGATGTGCTGACAGCCCCTAAAGTGAGGGCAGAGAGTGGGACCCCTGGGAGCTGCTATGGATGGGACCCCAGGGGTGCTTGAGGGGTTAAGAAGTGGTGGATTCACACTGGGAAGAGGAGTGGAACAGGTTCAAAAGGCCAGTCCAGAGGAGCTGGCTCAGGTGGAGGTGGCTGGGAAGGGGCAGAGGCAGGATGGATGCCTGGAGGTGTCCCAGAGCTGCGGAAGGATGTTAAATCCCTGCTTAGGGCTGGATGATCACTCCTGCAGGGAGAGGTTATCAGGAATCTCATGTAGCCTCATGCCTTCCTTCAACATATACAGCTGTGCAGGACACCACATCCCTCTTCCAACAGCCCCAAACCCTCCAAACACGGGCTGGAGGCTCCATCCCAGACCCTTCCTTTGGGAGCGTCTCTGAACTTTTCTGCTTTGCAAATGCATTCAGGTTTCCAGCCCTCCTCCTCAGGGATGCTGCGGTCAATAACTCACCAGGAGGCTGCTATTCTCCCTCTGCTTCCCACCCTCCCACTTGTCTCAGTATCTCTGCATTCATGCCTTTCTGGCCCTCCCTCGGCAGCGGGTGAGGAATAAAGCAGCGGCGGCTGAGCACGACGCAGGCTGCGCCGGGGATGCTGTGAGCCCACCGAGGGAAGCCTGAATCACCGGCACCTCAAGGTGGGAGTGATGAATCTGGGCTGGGAATTGGGCTGGGATAAGGGGAGGACGTCACACATGGGTTTTGGGAGTCAGGTGCTCGTAGCCAGCTGGCAGCCACTGGGAATTGGGCAACTCGGCTCCTTTCTGCACCTTTAAAGATGAATCTGAAAGCGATGGGGAGAAGAGGAGGGGCTCGTGGGAGCACAGAGATGCGGCATGAAGGCTCTGGGCTGTAGCTGAGGCTGAGGCATGCTCTCAGGGATGTGTTCCTCTTGGAGAAACTGCTGGAGGAGCATCTGTGGTGGGATCCAAGGGAGAGGGATTGCTTCCCAGTCCAGAAATGCCTAAAAGATGAGCCTGGAAGGGCTCCGCTGGGCACTGTGCAGGAGAGCGGAGTTGCTGGCCCCTGCTGGGGACGCCTCCAGTGCTTCTGCTGGCACCGGCTGGGAGGGAGCTGCTGAGCCCAGTGGGATCGTCCTGGTTTGTACCCAGCCGGTGGAGCAAAAAGTGGCAGAACTGGTTTTGTCAACCTTGCTCAGGCTCCTCATCCGTTCCCTGCCCTCATGTACCCAGCCCCAGTGCTGCCCATCGGCAACCAACATTGACAATGGATGGCCAGGCCCTGAGGAGCCAGATCCTGTGCTGGGGGGGACTTGCTGGGGTGGGTGAGGGCTTGGATGGCTTCAGCTTCGCTTCTCAAGGCAGGTTCTGAACCTGTCCTGATCTGGTAACATTGCTTTGGTCACCCAGTGAATGCTGCCAGAAAGGATGGGTGACCAACCTGGAAATGCTGCCGGAAGTGAGGGTGGGAGCTTGAGTGGAGTCCATGCCAATGTACAGTGTCATCAAGGAGAGGCCTTGAGTCTTTGGGATCGTCAGACCAGGTCCCATTTATTTATGGATGGGGCTGAGGGAGGTCACAAGGATCCCTGGTGCTCCCAAGCAGCGGTTGTTGCCTTAGAGAAGAGAGAAAGCAGTGGAAGGTGGGAGTGCACAGCAGCACAGAGAGATGTCTGGATCAGAATATCCAGGTCCAGTTTGGACCTTGAGTCCAGGGAGTTTGTTTCTGGGAGAACGGGATGCGTGTGGGATGGTTCTGTGGGTCTCAGTGCAGAACAGCCCCTTTTCCACCTCAGCTTCCATCAGAGGAGGTGCTTCTGGTGTAAGTCAGGCTGTCTGGTCTCATGGGGGGGTGGGCAACATCTGAGTTCCCACTGATGTCTCTGGAGATGCTTGGGAAGGGTGAGAGGTGATGGTGGCTGCACCCATTTCCCACCCACGTGTGGATCAAATGATTTCTCAAGGTGACAGCTCCCAACAGCAGATGCTGACCCTGGGCACCCAAACCTGCTCCCCACACCCCTGCCCACCCCATCGGGCTGGACCAAGCTTCAATGCCCACGAAGCCTCCTGAGCCAGCGCTGGTCCCACGGGTGTCCCCAGGGGCCAGGGGGTGGCGGGTCCGGGGTGGGGGGAAGCGGAGCCCGAGGCAGACGGAAATGTTTAAATAGTGCCTGCAGGCTCCGCGCTGTTCCCGGCTCCGCTCAGCCATTATCTGGGGAGCGGATGCCGGGGCTCTGTGGGACTGCTAATGGGCCGGTGCCATTCCAGCGGGATGACGCCACTTAGGTAAGCGCTAAGAGCTCCGGCTCCGGGAAGGCAGCGGCGGAGCGAGGGAGAGATGTGGATCCCTCCCTCCGTCCCGTCCTCCGCGCTCCCCCGTTCGCAGCCGGCGCTGGGGACGAGCCAGAGCCGCCCGCCCGGGCTCTGCCGGCCCCGATCCCGGTGCCCGTGGAGCGGAGCTCGGCGCGGCGGAGGGGCCCCGAGCCCCCAGCCCTGAGCAGCCCCGTGGCTGCCCCGGCAGCGCTCGGCGCTCCGCTGGGGCATGGACCGGCGGCGGCCCCGGCGGCGGCAGCGGGGTGAGTTCGCCCGCGCGGACACGCGTGGGGCTGGGCACGGGCGGCCTGCGGTGGGCGCTGGAGCGGACACGAGTGGGGCTGTGGGGGTGAGGGGCAGGTGGGGGCACGGGGCACGAGTGGGGTGTCCGTGCTGGGGCTGGCAGCGAGCGTGGGTCGGAGTCACGCGTGGGTCGAGCGGAGAGCGGGGCTGGGGCGTCCCGAGCGCGAGTGGGGTGCGGGCACGGCGGAGACGGTGGTCCGGGGGCGGCGGGGGCTGCGTGAAAGGAGGGGCTGCTGGGGGCTGCGGGTCCGACTCCTGCGAGAGGTGGGCTGTGCTGAGCGGGGCTGTGCTGTGCGGGGCTGTGCTGAGCGGGGCTGTGCTGTGCGGGGCTGTGCTGTGCGGGGCTGTGCTGAGCGGGGCTGTGCTGAGCGGGGCTGTGCTGTGCGGGGCTGTGCTGAGCGGGGCTGTGCTGTGCGGGGCTGTGCTGAGCGGGGCTGTGCTGTGCGGGGCTGTGCTGTGCGGGGCTGTGCTGTGCGGGGCTGTGCTGAGCGGGGCTGTGCTGTGCGGGGCTGTGCTGAGCGGGGCTGTGCTGAGCTGGGCTGTGCTGAGCGGGGCTGTGCTGTGCGGGGCTGTGCTGAGCGGGGCTGTGCTGTGCGGGGCTGTGCTGAGCGGGGCTGTGCTGTGCGGGGCTGTGCTGTGCGGGGCTGTGCTGAGCGGGGCTGTGCTGAGCGGGGCTGTGCTGAGCTGGGCTGTGCTGTGCGGGGCTGCTCGGGGGGGCTGTGGGGCCCCCATACGGAGGGGCTGGGCGCGGGGGTTGCCGCCGGATACGACCCACGCATGGGCTGCTGCAAACCGGGGCTGGGGCATCATCCTCCTGCCACCACCCCGCTGCTCCCCGCAGCGCTGGGATGGTCCTGGCAGTACCTCCGGAGGGAAAACCCCCTTTCCTTTCCTCCCACCTGGGCGCCCTGTGCCCCTCATCGCCGGCTCGCAGCCACCCCAGCCTGTAAATCATTTGCTTTTACGATCTCTGCTTTGGCCACTATCACACGAACTTATTATATGTGTTGGGCTGCAGCGGCCATAAAGCTTGCCCGGTTTCCGGGCTGGCAAGACCCTGGCAGGCAGGGTGTGAGGAGGAGGAGGCTGGGGACACGCTGCCCTGGCCCCCTCAGATGGCAGAGAGGCAGCAGGGGATGCATCAGTGCCCCGGGGGTGGCCTTCCCACTGGGAACTGGGGTATGGACTGGTTGGAGCAGGGAGCGAGTGGGGACCGCCGGGCTCCCCGGGGTTGAGGGCAGCAGTGGGGTCCCAGCTCCGGTATTCAGTATGTCTTCCCTCCATTCCACTGGACTGGAGGACCCACAGATCCTCTGGTTCACGTCCCCTTGGGTTCCAGGGGGATTTTGCCTCCCCGAGACAGCAAATCTGGGTCCATGTTCAAACCTTGCACCTGGAAATTGGAGGTCCAGGAGCATTTGGGCCCTGGTTCAGCACTGGGGGTCCTCCCGGAACCTGTCTTGCCCAGGACCTGTCCAAGCCCAGATCATACGTGCTGGCAGACACTGCATGGCCCAACTGCCAGCTCTGTCTGCCTGCTGTTCCCAGACTCTGTTTCTCCCCACGGTGTCCCCTGTGCACTTCCTTCTGCCTAAGCCCAGCTCATGGATGTCCTCATGTCTCCTGAGCTCCAGGTTTTGCATAGAGGGCTGGGGGTGGCTGTGGTGGGTCTGCCCTTGGGCTGCTCTTTATCTTGGGACCCTCAGTCTTGCCCCTTGGGTTACACTTTGGTTCAGACCTAACATGGAAGCCTCATGGGGCTTTGCTGCCCGAGCCCTAATGCCCAAGTGCTACCAAATCTCATAGCACAGGTCAGAGGGGACGGACACCCAGCTGTGAGCAGCTCCTCTGTGGGTAGAATCAACATCTTCCTTCACAGGATCCCACCCCCAGGTGGGAGCTGGGTCATGAGGGACCTGGGAGCCCTTGGAGGCTGCTCTCTACTCCCTCCTGCATAGTCCTAGCTGCAGATGAAGATGGGTCATATCCCTCCAGGGATCCAGGGGACTTCAGGTCACCAGCCTGTGCTTTAGTAAGGACCAGGTGAGGAGCTCAATGGCAGCAGGCAGCAACTCACAGGAGGGTGTTTTTCCTCCATGGCCCATTCCCATCCTGTCAGTGTAATCACAACCCGGGTTAGCTCTGCCCTCCCAATTCACCTTGGTATTAGTGGTAAAGAAATCAGCATCCAAATCTATTGTGGGTGTCCCAGGAGACCTACTAATTCCCTGCCTGCCTCTCCTTGGATGGAGTGAACATCTCACTTGAATCACAAAGGGAGGGGCATAGGTGGGCTTCAGGCACAAGAAAATCCCAAATCTCAGCAGATCCATTGCTTTTTCTTTCCTGGGAGGGGAATGGGAGAGATGACATCTTGCTTGAACAGTCAAAGTAAGTTGCCTTTGCTTTCGCCTGCTTCTCAAGGTCAGCCTGGCTAATGAAAATCAATCTTCCCTCTGCCTCTCTCTGCTGCATGAGCAGATTCTACCTGTGGCCCCTCACCTACTTGAAAGGCTCGAGCACTGCCTGACCATGGGGAGCTTCCTCAGGGAAACAGCGTCACCCTGCAGGCCCGAGCACCAAAAGGTGTCTGTGTCACGGAGGTGTCTGATCTGCCAGAGGAGAATGGCTTTGTCCTGGGGAAACTGGCTGTGCCCGGGTGGCATCGAGATCTGGGCTGGAAGTGCTGGGGGGCTGGTCTGGAATGCAGAATGGCTCCATCCTCCGTGTGCTCTGCTTGCCTTGTTTTGTGGGCAGCACAAGCTTCTCCCTCCATCCATCCTAAGGGGAGAGAGCCCTGCTGCTGCCCCTCTCCTCACTCAGCCCCACTGAGGCTTCACCAGACGCCAGCGGAGAGGTCCGGTGGCAGCCCAGGTTTGGTGATGGGTCCGATGCCATCAGGTCAAACCTGCTGGGGGGGGGAGTTGTAGGACACGGGGGTGCTCCCTGCCCCAGCCCCACTGCCCTCGGGGAGTCTGGACCTTCCCTCTGGAATAAAGCAGGCGCCTGCCGGTGCCGCAGACTCAGGAAGTACCGTTTCCTGAGCACAGCAGCAGAGACACGGCAGCCTCGGGGCAGGGAGCAGGCTGGGGCTTGCCTGCTGACAGCGCTGCTTTCCCTGCTTCCCCTCTGCTTGTGCTGGGGTGAAGGAGAAACCGAACCCTGCCCTTCCCGGGGTCCCTGAGGGGGTGACTTGGCTCCTGGGTGTGCATGGGAAAGCGGGATGCTGCAGTGGGAACTGTGGGGTTGGCTTGTCTCTGTCCCAACACGTGTCACATGAGTTGCAATTTGTTGCTGATACTGCCTGAAATTAGCGTCCAGCTCCTCTCCAACCCTATGCCCATGTTACAGCACTGGGAGGCCGCCCTGGGTGCACTGGGAAACTCCAAAAGAATCTCTTGCTCTGGAGGCGACGCTGTTCCCAGTTCTGTCACTGGCTCTGGATAAGTCACATCTTCAAGTTTTCCTCCTCCAGAGAGGGCTGGCATTTCCCCTGGGAAGGAGAGGAAGGATGGATGGGGTCCATCAGTGCTGGCAAGGGGGGGCAAATCCTCTGGAAGGACATGAGAAGCCTGAGGAGATGCTGCGACCACCTGGGTCAAGGGACAGATTTTGGCTGTGTCCAGCCTGAGTGTCCCCAGGCACAGAAGTACTTGGAGTCTGACTGTTGGAAATAACTTCATTAGGAGCTCTCCAGCCGGCCTTTGCTTCCTGCTTTATGCAGATGGATCTGTTATAGAATGTAACACAAATGTTTTCTCTGTCTTCCTGCCCCATCCTTTAGGATTTGTAGATGTGCCCTGATGCCGCAGGGTCTCCTCACTCCTGGAAATGCAGCTCTCTTCCAGTGTGGCTGAACTCAGCTGTGACGAGACGATGGACCCACCCGTGGAGGACTTCCAGCAGGTCCTGTCCATCGACCAAATCCGCTCCATCCGTGCCAGCAACAACTACGTGGAGAGACCGGCTGTGTGCTTCCAGCAAGCCCGCTCCAACCCATCCCTGTCCCAGCTTCCGCACAAGCAAGAGTGGTCCCAGGACCGCCTGGTGTCTTCCACCTTCCAGGACCTGCACCGCAGCCACAGCCAACAGCACCAGATACCACCTTTGCAACAGCACATGAGCCACTCCAGCACGGCCAGCTCTGTCTCCCAAAGCACCACGGCCTCCGACCAGCGCCTCCTGAGCAGCCTCACGCCTTCCCACTCTGGGCACTCCCTGATCCGGACGCAGTCGCGGGCCGGCGAGCTGAAAGCGGAGGAGTCTCCGCTGAAGGGGGTGGTGGAGAAGCCCCCCCTGCATCCTGGGCACCTCTTCCTCTGCGAGGAGTGCGGGCGCTGCAAGTGTGGGCGCTGCACGGCCGCCCGCAGCCTGCCCTCCTGCTGGCTCTGCAACCAGCGCTGCCTCTGCTCCCCGGAGAGCCTCCTCGACTACGGGACTTGCCTCTGCTGCGTCAAGGGTCTCTTCTACCACTGCTCCACTGACGACGAGGACACCTGCGCCGACGACCCCTGCTCCTGCGGGCCGGGGTCCTGCTGCGCCCGCTGGGCTGCCATGAGCTTCCTCTCCATCCTCATGCCCTGCCTCTGCTGCTACTTTCCTACCCTAGGGTGCCTCAAACTTTGCCAGCGGGGTTATGACAGCCTGAAACGACCCGGCTGCCGCTGCCAGAGCCACACTAACACGGTCTGCAGGAAGATCTCTTCCTCCAGCAGCACACCTTTCCCCAAGACGCTGGATAAGCCGGTATGACCCTCCTGGGGAGGAGAAGCAGGCTTTTTTCCTCTTCCTCCTCATCCTTCTTCTCTCCTTGCCATCCCCCTCCTCTTCCAGCACCCCTTCGTTCTGCAGCGCTCCCCCCCTACCCACCATAACCCCTTGGGAATAAGACAGGTGAGCTGGGGGTCCCACAGAGGAGTGCCTGGGGGAGGTGGCACCTGCTGGGGAGTAGTGGTGGTTTTGCACATGCAGGTGGAGGGGCCAGGAAAGGAAAAGAGGAGGAAGACTGAGGGTGATTGGGAGTGTGTCTTCAGGACTCTGCTCTGGGAGGGTTTTCAGAGCTGCCACTGCCCCATGGTGAGGTCCTTCCTGATGGGAGGACAAGTCAGGTCAATGCATCCCCTGTGCAAGAGTCCTCCAGGAGCCAGACCTCTTCTCTGTTCTTTGGGTGGCCTCTCTGCTGTCATGGCTATAGATCTGCTTTCCCCAAGGGCTGGGGTGAGGCAGGGTCCTGCCAATGGCAGCCACTTCCATCTGGGCTTGGAAGCCTCTGGGAGAAGGAAGCTAGCTTCAAAATGAGGTGGCATCGTATTTTTCTGTCTCAAAGAGGAAGGGAAGGTGTGGGAAGCTTTAGAAACCTTCTGGCAGGAGAAGGAGCTATAGGAGGCAGCCCAGCCCACTCGCTTCTGCCCGACTGCAGCGAGGGAAAGGTCCCCTCTGGGATTTGGTGGAGAACAAGAGGCTGGGTTGAAATTGCCATTCATTTCTCAATGCCTTGAAGGGCTGTCTCCAGGGTGCAAACCCCGGCGGGGTGGGAGCTGCTGCCCGGCTCCATCGATGCCACAGGCACCAAGAGCCCCGATCTGGTACCTTCCACCAGCACTGAATTCACTTTAAACAAAATCAAGACCACAAACACAAATGTGCACCCTGTGCTTGCACTGCCAGCCCCACTGGATAGCACCCACCCTGGGGGACAGCCTGCGGGGGACTCGTGCACCTCCTGCTTTGGGCTGGAGGGAAGCAGAGGGTAAAAAGGGGGCCTGGAAGATGGGAGCCTGACTTTCCCTCTCTGAAGTTGCCTTTTAGTCCTCCCCTCGCTTTCATTGCTGCACAGTGTCACACCAAAACCAACACCAGTGTGATGCTGGTGGGCAAACCCTGGAGGCATTGTTGAGGGTGTTCCCGTGGCAAACCGGAGATGGGTCTGAACTAAGTCCTGGGACTGGGCCATCTGCAGACCAGGAGGAAACCTGGCTCAGTGTCAGTGCTTTGTGCTTTGCTTGCTGTGAGGATAAGAAGCCCAACCCGTTGCTGCAGTTACAGGGAGCTCCTCCTGGTCTGGACTCCAAGGCTGATCCAAGCCCCGTCTCTGATTGCCAGCTGTTGGAAGTGACCCTGCTGCCACCAGCCCATTGGCCAGGGGAGCTGGAGCTGGGAGGATGTTCCAGTGATCAGCTATTCCTTCTAGTCCCTCCTCCAAAGGGTGTGAGAGCAGAGGGGAAGCAAACGAATCCCCTGGAGAAATATATGCAACATGTCCCTTGGCTTCCTCCAAGTCCTTGCCACCCAGGGCTCATCTGTTGCCTTCCCTCAGCCACCTCTTCACGTAGAGTTCTGTGGATCTATTTTTGTATATAGAAATATAACGTTAGGATGGCTAGGTCTATTACTAATAATATTCATGATACTGCTGTGAATGGTGACAGATGCAAGGGTTGGCTTCCTGGTACACTTGTGCATGCTGAAAGGTGATTTCCCAGTATGGTTCTTGCTAATACTAGACCTCTAGTTCCCAGGTAGTTGGGACAGGGGGAAAAGGAGGTTTACAGCTTGTCCTGGGGGGGCTCTGCTTTGCAGGGAGAGGGTAGGATTTAGTGCTGGCTCTGGGGTGAGGAGAGGAGGTAGGCGCTCATCATGAGATTTCTCTTCCCATACATTTGCTATCTAAAAATTGTGGCTAATCCAAGCTTTCTCCATTGCAGAGAAAAGCAGATTCAGAGAGTGATTCATCCCCCTTGAAAACACTATTCATTAAATGATGTTCTGATGGCGCCTGTCTCCCTCAACTCAAACAGGACCCAAATACTGGAAGTTGAGGTTCCCTGTGGAAGGAGAGATGAATCCCAGCCCTGGTGTGAGGTTGTGTCTGAGGCATGTTGGGGACTTGACTGAGATCCTCACCCTGCTTTCACCTGGAGCCCAAGGGGGACATTGAAAGATGCTTCCTTTGGCCAAAGATGGAGAAAGACCACTTCCATAAGCTGTAGGAAATTCAGGATGATGCTCTAGGTTGTAGTGAGGATCTTCTGGCATGAAGAACAGAGAGGGTCACATCTGTGTGGTTTGTATGCCCTCTGTGGCCAGCCCTGAACTCTGCAATGGGTTGGGGTTTAGGGCAATGACCTTCTCAGAGGATGCCCTGTACATGTGTGACCCCCATAAGCTCAGTCCATGTCCCTGTGGCAGCACTTATATATTGCGGTCATATTTATCCATATGCCAATAATTGCTTGGCTCTTCACTTCCAAGTGATGTCTGGGGGAGAGACTTCCACCAAGAGGCACCCTTCCTCCTGAACACTCAGTTCCCTTCTCTGCTTGTGCTGATACAAGTCCTTCTTCCTAGAAGAATTAAACCTTTTGTTTTTTGGGAAATAAAAGGTCCCCTTTTCACTGAGGGTTTGAGGAATTGTCTCACTCCAATGAGAATGTGAAATGGTTCATTGAAACTTTCTGAAGAAAACTAATGAACAGAATTTTCCAACTTGCTCTACTTTGATATAGGGTTGGGGTTTTTTTTTTCCTCCTCCTTTTTAAATGGATCCTACTTGTAAATTTAGTTACCACCTCTGTATCTCTGCAATTCATTGCTTCCTCTCCTGATGGTGCAATGACTCAACATGTGAAGCTGCATCATTTTCATGGCCTCCCAAGTCATTCAGGCACGGGGTGACCTCCCCCAGGTGCTGGAGCTGTTGGATGAGGAGATGGGTGTCCACACACCTGCTCCCCAGAGCTTTGCTCAGCCAAGCCCTGTGCTGCTCCTGCAGCACATTCACCTTCAGGCCAGGACTCCTGCAGTATCCTTCTACATAATGGGCCTTTCCTGGGCCAGTGCAGGAGCCCCAGTTCTCCTAGGGGATGGTGCCATAGCGGGGTGCAGGGCTGAGCAGTCCAACCACATCTCCCGAGTGTCTCATCTAAAAGAAATGAAAAACCTGTGAGATATTATGAAATAGGGGACATGTAGGAGGGGAATTGGAGAGGAGGAGAGCCCAAGATGGGCACTGAGGGCTGTCAGACCAGTGCAGGGCTTTGGTTTAGCTGTGTTGAGCTCAAAATGCAAAGCCACATCCAGGATTTGTGGTTGCATGGGCTAGAGAGGTTTAGGGATGTTGGCCTCTACCCTGCTCACAGGGGTGAGGGTGGCTTCACGGGGGGTTACTGCTTCCCACTCCATCTGGAGGGGTCTCATCCAGCTCCCATTCCTTGCTCTTGGCAGAAAGGGCAAGTTAGGATTTTCCAGAAGCTCTCCATGGAGGCCAGCTCTGGTTCACGGAGCTCATTTGGTGTCAGGAATGCTGTGGGTAGCCTCTCATCATGCTTTTTTTCCTGAACTTTTCCTAACACCTCCAGAAGAGATCCATCCCACTCTCTCCCCATCTCCAGCTGCCAGAGTCTGGTTTCCCTTCAGAGAGGACTCCAGCTCTGGTTAGGGTTGTGAGCCCCTTTCCTGCCCCACCCTGCAGTGAGTCACATCACATCTGCTCTGGCTGTTTGTTTGCAGCTGCCTGTCCCGGCAGCTTGGGTCTGTCTCTGTCCTGACGTGTCTTTCTTGGTTTTCTTCTGGGAGAGTTGTGTGTCGAGTCCTCCCATTTCCCTGGGAGCTGACAGGGATGGATCCACTGTGCCAGGGAATGGCTCGTGTTGTGTGTGTCTCTAATGGATGGGGGCTCTTCTGCTGGGAAACATGCAGGGATGTAGGGAGGATTTAGGTGGGGAAAGGGACACTCAGGTGCCAAAGGAGCAGGAGGTAGGAGGTGCTGAGCAGGACCTGCGCTTCCCCTGCTCTGCTCCCCAAACAGGAGCTTCCTTTTCCTGCCCAGACCTCCAAAGCTCCATCCACACAAGAAGTCCTGCTGGTGCTTGCTTTCTCTGAGGCTTCCCTTGGTCTCTCTTCCCTCCTTCCCTACTGGCCCCTGCACTGGTGATGACGACCAAGGGGAGTCTGCACTGGGGACCAAGGTGGAGTCTCCTTTCCTTTTGAGCTCCTAAACCCTCCTAGTCGAAGGGCTGAAATGGTCCTTGGGCTGCTGTCCACCCATCCCTGAGAAACACTGGTGCCAGCCAAGTACCTCAAAGAACAGGGGGGAAGTTCTTCGGGACTCTACTCTCAGATTCCCATAAAATCCCACTGAGTTCACTCTTCCACATCCCCATGTGTGAACCCCAAACTATGGGCAAGTGTCATTGACCAAAAGATGCCAAAGCACAGAATAGCCATTTAGGAATGGATGCTTGAGTGCAATAGAAGGATGAGTGAAGAGGTGAGGAGTTTGCACAGGGGAGGAGCACACTGTGCCCTCAACTTGCTGTCTGCAGCACACACTTCACTAGTTTGCTTCATCTCTGGCCCTTGGGTGGAGGAACTGGAAGCTCTTCAGATACTGGAAGGTTTAACTTCTTGTGATCAGCATGTGAGGAAAGTAGATGGGGGATGAACCCCACCCCAACACCCGTTTGTGGTAGGAGGGACATGGATGGATGGATGGATGGATGGATGGATGGATGGATGGATGGGAAGAGATCACACACCTCATGGGGCAGGGTGAATGTGCGAGTACCAAGTAAGGGGAAGCAGTGCCAAGCCTCTCGCTAGGTCTCTGTCCTGCTGCACCTTTCTGCAGCACCCCAAAGGGCTCCAGCACAAGCAGGACCGAACTGCCCATGTTGAGCTGGCCTGGGCATGGGGAGAGGAGGTTTCGTATACCCTTTGTTCCAGCCAGGAGGTGTGTGGTCATCCCAGAGCTGGCCCAGCAGAGCCCTTTCCCCTTCCCATCCCATTCCCCTCTGCCCATCATCTCCCAGCAGCTCCCTCAGCCCTTTCTGATACTCTGTGGACCAGCAGCGGCCGAGCTGCCTCCTGCCTCCCTAGGTGTCCTCAGCACAAAGCTCTCCTTAGAAGATGTATCACCCTTGGCTTCAAGGAAGAGTCTTGTACCAAGAACCGAAGTGTCTAATCCTCCGCTGAACTGGTACAAAGGCATTCTGTACAGTGTATAAAGAGATCCCTCTCTGCTGTCTTCACTTGGGTTCCTTTCATAATATATGTTTATAACCTGATGGCTGTTTTTTGACAATACTCTTGTACCTTCTAAGGAAAAAAAAGGCAAAAAAAAAAAAAAAAACACCCCACAACCCCAAACAAC